TAAGCTTATGTCCCAAAGGCTAACCAAGAGGGGGGGGGGGGTAAATTGGTACTTTTTAAAAAATTACCTCTTTAACAAACTGAGCAGGTTGTTTTTAGAATTTTCAAAAATAAATTTTCAACCAAAGAAAAATAAAATGATAGAAATTAAAGCAGCAGAAATAAAAAGACACAAAGATTTATAGTGGTTCGGTCAAATATGACCTACATCCACACTCTGAAGTCTTCCACTTTAGGTATTGCACTATTACCACTAGTGTCTCTCTTTTTGCCCCCACAATAAGGCATAGAAGTCTTCAGAAAACTCTCTTCCACCACTACCTTGTGTGGCAGAGAACCGTCATCCTTTTACACCCTCCAAGTGTCGGCAGTGAACCATCATCCTTTTACACCCTCCAAGTGTTGGCAGCGAACCATCGGCTGTTCACACTCTCCACGTGTGGGCAGAGAATCTTCATTCTTTCACACTCTCTAAGTGTAGGCAGAGAACCTTTGGCTGTTCACACTCTTGAGTGTCGACAGAGAACCGAATTTTCTTGAAAGATCTTCACACTAGAAATCTAGATGTACAAGAGAAAAGAGTGAAGTAAATACAAAGTACACACAGAGATCCTTACCCTTGAGTAACCAAGTGAACCCTTCACACTCCAATAGGAAGAAATCTCATTCAAACACTCTCTCTTACTCTCTCCTTCAATTTCCCTTTACCATTCATGAAGACAAAGTGAAAAAAAAAAAAATTAAATGACAGTCTTAAGTGGACCTTATATAGAAAAGACACAAAAAACTGTTCATAAAACTGTATTTTTTAAATTTGACCATCCACGATCATCCCGTACGATCGTATTTTATATGTACAAACAGTATAAAAACTATTACGTACGAACTCAGTGTGAATCGGTACGAACTGCCTTCATACCCAATCATCATCCCGTATGAACTTGGTTCGTGTGGTACGAACAGTTGTTTTTCAAAGTTTGTTGGTACGAAAAGTCAGGACGAACTACAAGTATACAAAATAGAGCCCTTCATCCCGATACGATTGAAAATATCATCCTTACGAATAGCGTTAGAGGACAAACCAAAGAAGATCATCCAAGTACGAACTAAAGATATCGTCCATATAAACTATGTATTTGTCAAAACCAGATAAGATCGTCCTGGGATGAACTCAAAATATCATCTAGACGAATAGTGTATTTGCCAATTCAAAATAAGATCGTCCTACGATGAATGAGAAATATCGTCTGGACGAACAGTTCATTTGGCAAATCCAGAGAAGATCGTCCTGGGACAAATGTAAAATATCGTCCATACAAACTTCACATTTGGCAAAAATAGAGAAGATTGTCCCGGTACGAACGTAAAATATCGTCCGTACGATCTATACTTAGGAAAAAATTGTCATTTTCTATTCATTCCATTGCTCATTGGGAAAAATAATTGATTAGATCGTCCCGTACGAACAAGTATCATACAATACGATTAGTTAAAAAATGTGAGTTTTAAAAACTCTCCCTCCAGTTTGTGTGTGCTTAGTTACTCAATTACAATCACACTCTCTCAAACTCAATAAAATAAAAAATACATACTTCAATTTACAAAATACTCTAAGCTGATCTTGATTTGAAGTCTTCAACAATCTGGAGTATGATTTCTCTGAAATGTTAGTATACACAAGAGCAAAAATGATTCTTCCAAAATGTGTTAGGAGAAAATACTTAATCAAAATAATAATATTTGGAATCATAAAAAACATGCAAGTTGCAAGAATGTCAAACATGCAAAGCTAAGTAGCAACTATCTTAACATCAACATTTTTTTAATGCCCAGAAAATAATCAGTTAGTTGACTCACTTTGTTGTATGGATAGAATGCCCAAGCTAAAGCAATAATTACTGAATGTTGTTGACCACTTCTTTATTATCCTATAAAGCTCCTCCAACCAACCATTGCTATGAATGACCCCTTATGTGATCATTTCAGTTCATATTTTCTCAAAATCCTCGTTAGAATTACACTTGCTCAAACACTTATAAAAGAGTCCTCTAACTTTATCATTTTTATTGAAGCAACAAATTTTTGATAGAGCATTCTTAAAGATGTGTCATTGGCAAAGTCTATGATGTGTGTGAGGCAATGAAACTTCTATGGCCCTAGTCATTTCCTAGCCTTGATGAGTCTCTCCTACATAGAGGGGGCCCTAAAGCCTAATAAAGGATACCACCTATACAAGACAAACGGAAGGTCTCTATTATAAGAATGCTTTAGAAAGCAGGGAGAGAAGGGGGGAGGTGCATGTCTTTTATACCCCATGAGGGGTATTTATAGTCTAAAGAGAGGGGGTGTTGGGAGTAAAGGGAGTTATTAATTAAAGAATTTTTAGATTAAAAAATTATATATATATATATATATATATATATATAAGTTGTTTGACCACGGGCAAGAGTCAAACAGTGCGCGTGTGTAGACCCAGGAGGGCTAGTATGCGAGCAGTCCAGGAAAGCAAGGCTATGCGTGAGGGGCAAGCCAATGGCCTGGTGGGCGGGTAACTTAGGCGCTTGGGCAAGTGGTGAACACACCAAAAGTGGGTGGCGGCTAGCAGTCAGTCGGCTAGCTTGACCACCAAATTACATCCGGGACTAATGTTTTGGCCCAGAATGCCCGACTCTTTGGCCCAAACAACACATTTTGAACATTTTTGGGATCCCTAGAATCATTTTTGACATTATGAACTCAATTTTGACACTTTCGAAAGACAGCTAGGCCTCTACAATCATTGTCGAGAAATTTTTATAATTTTGGAGCATTATTTTTTTTTATATATTTTGCTCTAATTAATGCATTAACTTTGGGACTTGCTCGAGTTGATTACGAGTATTTTAATTAGTTCACGGCCCCAAAGGGGAGGTCCACGTAGACATCCAAGGAGTGGTTGCACCTCGTAATTATGCAAAATTATAATTTTGCATTAAAATTGTTTAAAATACTCTAACACGTATTTTCAAACTCTGCAAGCTTCGATTTCTAAAAATAGGGGGGAAATTAATATATCATAAAAAATTATCTTGAACGAACACAAATCTCAAGACAAAGTTGAATACAAAACTTTCAAAATTACTTTAAGGAACATTCATACTCTAATTTCAGCAAACTTATAATCAAACTGAACATCTCAAAAAGATAACCCCAACGACACCAAATTTGATCCAATCTAAGACCAAATGGGTCAAAATTGAGGGTCTGAAGCGCATTTGAAAGCTTCAAAGCATGAGTTGGATTACCAAATGATTTCTAAATGTTTCATGCTTATAATCAAATTGAGCGGCTCGATGAGACGAATCTAATGAGCCAAAGATAGTTAAATTTTGACTTATTAAGACACTCAAATATGTGATAAATAATTATGATTAACACAGTCGATATATGTTGTCCATCTAAACAATCCCAACATGCTTTTGATCTTCTCCTTATTTACTAGCAATGCCACTCCCAACAAACTATAAATAAATCTACCATTCTTAACAAAAAAAAAAAAAAAGAAGAGGAAGAAAAAAGAGAAATCTAAGATCTATCTTGCCACCAAGCTCCTCCACGACCACCATCAGACCATCGAACCGTCGCCAGACTTATGCCCAGCCACCATCCATTATCAGACTTCTGCCCAGCAACCAACCATCACCGACCGTCGTCTGACGTCCATCGTCGGACGTCTGCCTGACCACCGACCATCACCGAACTTCTTCCAGGCCACCAGCTGATACAAGACTTCTGCTCGGCCACCAACCGTCGTCGGACTTCTACCTGGCAACCGGTTGTCACCAGACTTTTACCCCCGCTCAGCCACCAACCAACATCGGACTTTCTTCTGGCCTCCAACCGACGTCAGACTTTCTCATAACCATCAACTGACGTCGGACATTCGCCCGACTGCGACTGCTAACCGACACCGAACTTTCTCCCAGCCATCGACTATCTTTAAACTTTGGCTGGCCACCAATTGATATCGGATTTCATCCCAACTCTCCAAATTATTATAATTTCACCATCCTCAAGTTTTGAGCCTGGTCAATCGTTGTAACTCATTCAAATACTAGTATAATCATTTTAATTAGGTGTGGCCTTGTGGTTTTTCCCTTTTTCGGGATTTTCCACATAAAAACCCCCGTATTATTGAGTTCTCTTTTTGTGTGTTGGTATTTGTACAATGTTAAGACGAAAAATCTTCTCACTTTATTGTCGTGTATATTCAAGCCTACAACAATATTCATTTTAATTTTTTTTTCTACTTTTGTTCTTTATCTCCTTGCCATTTGTTACCCGTTGAGGTTGTTTAATATCCTATTTTAGGTAGGATTTAAGCATGTTTAGCTTAAATCATACCAAGCAGAAGGTTGGAGAGGGGCTGTTTGGCAACAAGTATAATTTAACTTTAACAGGATTTAGTAAATCTTGTAAATCTGATTTACTAAATCTTGCTAAAGTTAAATCCTGAAAAACTCTTAGGGAGGTAAATTTTAAATCTTGCGAAACTATTGGGCAATTTAATACAATATTTAAATTAGTTAGTTCATTAAAAAATCAAATTAAGTTTTGTTATAATTTATCATTTTAAGTACAAGTTATTTAAAAATTTTAATTTTAGTTATTATCAATAATATAATTAGAAATAAATTAATTATGAAATAACTTATTAATTTTAATTTTAATTATTTATGATTTTTTAAAATTAAGGATAACGTAAGTCTAAAAGTCAGGAATTCTTAGTTGAGAGTAAAACTCCCAACCAATAAATGAAGGAGAGCTACATTTATATTAATTATTAATGACTAATCATTATAAATAATATAGTTAGAATTTAAGTTAATTATATATTAATCTATAAATAACTGCCCTATCTTCCTGTAGTCGCTGTGTTCTGCCCTGTCTTCTATAGCCCCGGATTTGCTCCGGTTTGCTTTTCCTCTACTGTTGCTGTTCGTTGCTCTTCGACTTCGCGGTAGAGTTTTGAACGAGTCGCTAAGTAACTTCTTCACTTCCTTTGACGACGTTCCTTCCTGTCGGATCCGAAGTCACACGTCCTCGCCGTTCTTGTGTTGGATCGGAAGTGACAACGACGACGGCAGCTTGCTCGTTGCGAAGGTAGCCATCTTTCTTCCTTTCGCGCGCTTCTTCAGCCAAATCCCGTAAATCTGCCGAACTCGCGGATTTAGTATAGCCGGGATTTACGGCAAAAAGAGGGAAACGGAGGATTTAACTCGCTGTGAGATTTAACAGTTCCTAAATCCTGTTTGGCAGGAATATGGCTCAAATCCTGCATTAATCTGTATCCAAACAACCCCTAAATAGAACTGTTTTTATAAATCCTGTTTTTTTTTTTTTTTTTTTTTTTTTTTTTTTTTTTTTTTTTTTGTAATTTAAGAAGAATAATAATATAATTTAACATATTCTTTATATAACTCAAACAAATCCTGTTTTAGTCCCGTTGTTAATTAAATATAGGGTTTACTGAATCACATCATTTGTAGAATTTAACGGATTTCCAAATTTGAAATATTGAAACAAATAGCCAAACACTTTATTAGGATTTAGCAAAATTTAACAACTTTCAGGTTTTAATCATTTGAAGATTTACTAAATCCTACTTTGCAGGATTTACTAAATTCTACTTGTGGTCAAACAACTCTCAAGGTTCAATGACGCAAGTTCAATGTGAAGCTACTACAAAGACAAGATGCTTTTCTATTAAATGGCTCTTTGTTAGAGACTCTAATTTTTGTGTAATGTAGATGCTAGGGAAAGTTTATGATCATTCCTCTACTAAGGGCTCATATGGTTACTTGCAGATGCAAATCATATGGTAGAAAGTAGGGAATGGTGTATCACTCATTTGAGCGTGGAATGAAATCATCATTCTGATGGTGTTTATAGAGTTTGAATTTCATATTGATTTCTCTTTACATATAATCAATGATGGAATCTAAAGAAAAAAAGATTGCTTTTCAAAACATGTTTTCCTGTAGTTGCTGGAATTAACAATTGGAAATTTGTTGTTTCAATTATTTCTTAGCAAAATAAAGTAATAATAATAACAACAACAACAACAATTAGTAGTTTAGGTATGCATAATGAACGGTAGAAGATGCGTCAACAAGATGAGATCATATTAATGTCAAATACAAGCAAACGGCAAAGAGTAATCATTACACGTATAGAAATTGTGTGAAATAATTTTTAGAAATTAAATTTAATCTCTCGCGTAAACACTTAGTTGAAAACATAGAAAATGAGCATTAATAAAGCCAAATCTTAATAGATGTGACTCGACTAATGATGATACTGCTTTAAAGATTTCACTAAATCATACAACTCACATTTGCTAATAACTTAAAATTATATGGTACTATGGTACTACCAAACAACCCCCAGATCAATCCATCTATAGTGTGTCTTTTTTTTAATAAATCACTAGTTAGTTTGTTTATTATAGTGCAATGTTTAAAATTCCTTACTCAAGTTATTTCTTAATTGCTTAATTGCATCTTTTAAGTTTTATTATGGCATAATGCAATTTTCTTTATTTTCTTGGAAAATGATGATTGTTTGCATTGTTTCTTCTTCACAACGAAATAAGTTGCTGTTGGTTTGTTCCATTTTATTCTTGTTTGTTGTTGGTGTTTAGTTTTGTTTTCATTAGATGGTTTGTATATATTTTTATGTTCAACAAATACAAGATTTATGTCAAATTTTGACTCTTTGCCTGTAGAAGACTAGTTTTTTAGTCATTGTATGTGTGAAACTATTCATGTGTTTTGAAGTACTTTTTGCATGAAGCATGGATATTGATAATAATATCTTTAATCTTTGTTTATCAACTTGGGTATCTACATTATTGTATATTATCTTTGTTAACATCATTTTCAAAAGCACTTATATTGTTTGATTTAGATTTTTTTTTTTTTACTTTTTTGTGATGATGTCATGCTGGTCATTTTTGTATGATTGTGATAGGCAACCCCCACCCAATCTGGACCCTAATATTGTGCGTCCTGTAATTGCTTATTTTATCTCCTAATTAAAAGATATTTTTGTACAACCTTTCTCCAGATTGTTGGAACACATTTATACCAAATAAAGTGTTAGCTTTTTTCCTTTTACTTGTGGAAACGAGTGACTGTCAGAGATGAAAGAGTTCAACGTGGCTGGGAGCAACATTTCCCTTGCCCTCTTCACAGATGTGAGCAACAGCAGGTGGGCTGCCGATCTAACCCTTCTCTTTTGTTTCCTTCTAAAACCTTCGTATGTTACATTTTTAGTTATGCTAAAATGTCATTATTTATGTCTGCAAATTCATGGAACTTGTTCTTTTACTTTCCATACTTTAAACTGAACGTTGCCCTGGTGTTGATGTTTTGATTGTTTAAATTTGAGTCAATTATTCTTATAACTTTAGTAGGTCGTTATTATGCTTGAGACCAGTTAAAAAGGTTTGCATGGTTGAGGTGATTATATTCTCCTTAGTAATATCACTCACTTTCAATTAGATTTGATGAGCTGAAGTCTTTGATTACTTCAAAGGGATACCCGTAAGTATAGTTGCTGGCTTGCAGTTCTGAGAACATCACTGGAACATGGTTTGTTTTCATTGTTAATCAAAAGATAATAAAATGATTGGACAGCATTTATTTATAACTGGAAGTTAATTATGAAGTCTTAGAAAGTGTATCTTCTGAGTATTATTCTACTTCCATATTCTGTTGTTTCATTCTTAGTAATTTTCACTCCAGCCTTCTGTCGTGCCTCAAAACTATTTGATGTTCATCCTGAACGATCCTAATTTATGTGATTTTTGCACTTTTAAATTCAGCCACTCATGCTATGAGCTAAATCAAAATGATAATTTGAATGTTTATCCCATGAAAAGAGGCAAACCTGGGTTATAATATGTCTGACATTTGGTTTCAGGGAACTTCTTGACTCTATTCAAGCAGGAACTTTAGAACCAGAAGTTGCACTCATGAATGCATCACTGGTATGCTCCATTTATAATATATTTGGCTTCATGTTAAATCTTTTTGCTGATGATATTCTTCTTGTTGGTAAGACTAGAGAGGGAGTTGAAGGTAAACTTGAATTATGGAGCTTAACCTTAGAGTCTAAAGGTTTTCGTTTGAGTAGATCTAAAACTAAATATATGGAGTGTAATTTTAGTAGCAATAGACCTAGTGAGGGGTTTGTGATTTTGGGCGATCAAGTCATTAATAAGAGTATATGTTTTAGATATCTTGGATATATTGTTCAGAGTGATGGTGAAATAGATGGGGATATTATCAGCAGAATTCAAGTTGGATAGTTGAAGTGGAGGAATGCATTGGGCTTGTTGTGTGATAGAAAAGTCCCCCTCAAACTTAAGGGAAAATTTTATAAGATACTGGTGAGACCTGCAATGCTTTATGGTGCCGAATGTTGGCCATTAAAAGAGAAGCATAATACTAAGCTATGATGCACCAACACTTCTCCTCAAAGAGGCGTGCAGTGTCCGACACCGTGTCCGACACGACACTCGTCCGACACTCATTCGACACGTGTCGGACACGCCGAAAATGTGTCCGATTAAAAAAGTATTAAAAACAAATTGGACATGCGTGTCCGACACGCGTATCTTAAATATTTTATAATTTTTTTAAAATATAATTTCTTATATTTGGCGAGATTTAAAATAAATTTCTTATTTCTTATCCACAACACCAAATCAACGTCTGCATTTAATACCCATTCATCGAATATTCTCATTTTCATTTCTCTTTGGCAGTGAAGGTATTTTTATCTCCTCTCTTTTTGCACAATTACAAATATTTCTCTTGTTGAACCAGAGTTGAAAGCAGTAATATTCAATGATGATGATATTGAAGGCCAAAACTAAACCTCTAAAGCTAATCCTAGTAGTTGAAGCTTGAATGCTTGATGTTGTAGTAAGTGATTATTTGCTTATATTTTTTTGGTTATACTAGATATTTTGCACTAAATATTTTATATTATAAGCTAGACAAGTTATCATGTCATTCATTTATTATTGTTTATCATTTTTAATATAATATTACATTAATATATATACACTATATAAAAAAATGTATTGCCGTGTCCGCGTCGTACCCGTGTCCTATATTTTCAAAAAAAGTCATGTCCCGTGTCCGTGTCGTGTCGTGTCCGTGTCCGTGCATCATAGATAATAAGTTAAGTGTTGCAAAGATGAGGATGCTTAGGTGGATGAGTGGCTTTACCCTTAGAGATAGGATACGAAATGAGCATATACGTGAAAAGGTTGGAGTGGCTCCAGTGGAAGATAAGATTAGAGAGAGTCGCCTTAGATGGTTTGGTCACATTAAACGAAGGCCTTCGGATGATCCGGTTAGGAAAGTTGAGGTATTAGATTTGACTTATATTAAGAAAGGTAGAGGTAGACCTAAAAAGACTTAGTTAGAAAATATTAGAAATGATATTTCTTTATTAAATTTAAATGAGAATTTGTCTTTTAACATGACACAATGGAGAAAAAGGATTCATATAGCCGACCCCACGTAGTGGGACAAAGGCTTGATGTTGTTGTTGTTGTAAAATGTTTTTGTATTACATGTCACTATGTCAGTTGGCACTTTAGTTTCCGAATAGCATATATGACTGGTTTGCAATTTGATTTCTGCTTGTACTGTAAGTTCAGGGTCATTTGTTGAATTTTATATTGTAATCCATCTTCAATGCAATGCTTTGCAATATTTATCCACTCTCTTCTATTGATGACCATTGAAACAGATACCAGATGTATTCCCAGTTCTTGCAGCTGCATATAATGCTCTTATTGCCAAATCAAGAGATTCCTTGACAACACGCACACTGCATTCAGAACTTGTTTATAACTATTCGGGTTCTAAACATGTACCCACCTTTCTGAGATCAGTCCTAGCTTTTGTTGTAAATTTGTTATATTCGTATTGATTCATTGATTTTGAGTTTTGTTTTGATAGATTACTGAATCATTGAAGAGGTTTGGAATCTCCGATAAAACAAACTATATTCTGGCAGTTCGTTTTGGTGCTTCCAGTGATGAGGTGCGTCCATCAGAAACCTGTATCCCTCTTGACGCTGAAATAAGTAAATGAAAATGATATTATTTTGTTTAGTGAATCCACCTGTCTGTTAGAAAATCCCTTTTAATCAGTCTAATATATGAGCTTTACCTGAAGTTCATTGGCCGAATTACGGCAGATAAACTTACTAAAAGAGCTTGCTACCTGTTAGAGTCTGCAAGCAGGAAGAAGAAAAGAGGGCTAAGGAGGAGAAGAAGAAACAGAGCAATGTCGAAGTTACTGTAGCATTCTATTTTTCATAAGCAGCTCATACAATGGTATCAAGTATATATAGATAAAGTAGGAAACACAAAAATGAGAAGCCGTTGGACACAGACTGAAAAGTGGATAGCGGCTGAGCAGAGAATCAACTGCAGGTGGTCCACGCATATTCAGATGGTAGTGGAGGTGCTAACATCCCCCCGCAAGTGGATTGTCCAAGGGTTGGACTGTCAACTTGAGTCGCAGCTGTTTGAACCGAGAGGTTGGAAGAGGTTTGGTAAGGATGTCTGCCGGTTGATCAAGTGAACTGATGTGTAGAATGGAGATTGCGGCTGCTCGAATGTGTTCACTGATGAAGTGATAATCAAGCTCAATGTGCTTGGTCCGGGCATGGAAAACAGAATTGTGTGCTAAAGCAATAGTAGAGGTGTTATCACAGTATATTAGAGTTGGTTCGGATTGAGTAGCTTGAAATTCTTGTAGAAGACATCTTAACCAGAGGACATCTGATGTGGCGGTTGAAAGAGCCCTGTATTCAGCCTCGGTAGATGATTTGGCAACAGTGGCTTGTTTCTTAACTTGCCAAGAGATAAGATTTGGACCCAAGTAGGAGCAAAAACCAGTGACCGACTTTCGATCCGATCTATCCGCAGCCCAGTCCGAGTCAACAAATGTGCGGAGTTGTAAGTCACCAGGAAGAAAAGTAATGCCGAAGTGTATGGTCCCTTTAATGTAACGAAGAAGACGTTTGAGGGACTGAAAGTGTTGATTGGTTGGATGATGCATTGATTGGCAAATATGATTTGTTGCAAACGCTAAATCTGGGCGAGTGGTTGTAAGATACATAAGCGAACCGGCAAGTTTGCGATATAATGTAGGATCAGAGAATGGCAGATTTGCATCAGGGCAAGCTGGTGGTTTTAGTGCCAGAGGAGTGGAGACAGGACGGCAATTGGAGAAACCAAACTTAGCAAGTAGTGTCTCAGCATAACGTGTCTGATGCAGAAAAAGGCCAGAATCCGTTTTCTGCACTTGAACTCCAAGAAATGTGGAGATGGATCCAAGCTCCTTGAGAGAGAAGTCTGTGTGTAGTTTCTGTACTAGTGACTGCATAAGAGATTGATCATTACCGGTGAGAAGTAAATTGTCAACATAGATTAAGAAGTACAGAAAGACATGAGCCCGGTTGAAAATAAGAAGAGATGGATCAGATTTGCTAATGCTGAATCCAAATTCTTTAAGAGAGGTGGTTAGCTTATCAAACCACTGTCGTGGGGCCTGTTTAAGTCCATATAAGGACTTGTTCAATTTGCACACGTAGTGAGGGAATTGTTCATCAACAAAACCTTGAGGTTGCTTCATGTACACGGTGTCCGGTAATTCACCATGTAAAATGCATTAGCAATATCGAATTGAAAAACCGGCCAGCCTCTAGTCAGAGCTATAAGGAGTAGAATCCGAACAGCAGACATTTTAGCCACGGGGCTAAATGTTTCTTTGAAGTTAATACCATACTCTTGTGCAAAGCCTTGAGCCACTAAGCGGGCTTTGTAAGTTGGTGACTGTCCATCGGATGGAAGTTTAGTTTTAAAAAGCCATTTGCAGCCAAGGACGGGAATATTAGACGGCGGTGGTGTGAGAGACCAAGTGGATTGTTGTTGAAGAGCAAGAAATTCTTTGGACATGGCAGCACGCTAATGAGGTAATTTGTTATCTTGAGTATAGGATGTAGGAGTAGAGGTTGATGTTGTGACAGCCGAGAGATCAAAGATTGTTTTTGGTTTAAGATTTCCGGTCTTAAATCGTGTTTGCATTTGATGCTGGGGAGGAGGAGGAGTAGGGGAGAGTGAGGGAGTAACGGAAGATGTTGAGATTGTAGGAGAATTGAGAGAGGATTCAGTGGATGTAGATGGGTGGGTAGGGGAATGAAGGGAATATTGGGTTGGACTGAGAGGGGGAGAGATCTGCTGAATGGTGGATGTAGGAATAAGCATCAGTGGAGGTGAGACAAGAGGAGGAGACGATATCTGGGAAGGTGGAGGAGAGCTGTGATAGGGAAAATGAGTTTCATGGAAAACAACATGTCTTGAAATGTGCATTTTACGAGTTTGTAGATTATAGCATCTATAACCTTTTTGAGAGGAGGAATAGCCGAGAAACACACAGTCTTGAGAGCGGGGTTGAAGTTTATTTGTGATGAGAGGGCGAAGCCAGGGATAGCATAAACATCCAAAGGTCCTTAGATGCTTGTAGTCTGGTAAGGTTCCATAAATAGTTTGGTAGGGAATGTTGAGATTACAAGCTTTAGTAGGAAAACGATTAATGAGATAATTAGTAGTTAATAAAGCTTCAGCCCAAAAGAGAGGGGGAAGGTTTGCTTCATGAAGAAGAGTACGAGTGATATCAAGAAGATGACGATTTTTACGTTCGGCTAAACCATTTTGCTCCGGTGTATAAGGACAGGTTGGTGAGTGATACCATTCGAGTGCAGATAATTGTTGAAGCTAGTATTGTTGTATTCTCCTCCATCGGTGCGGAGAATTTTAAGTTTGGCATTAAAGAAATTTTGAATGAGATTATTATAGTGAATGAATTTAGAGAGAGCTTGATCTTTTGAATGCATTAAGTAGATCCAACAGAAGCGGGAATGAGCATCTATAAACGTGATAAAATAACGATATCCATTGATAGAAGAGACGGGGGAAGGACCCCAAACATCAGAATGAACTACAGAAAAGGGTGTAAAAACAGTAGTGCTACTATTGTTAAATGGCAACTTGTGGCTTTTTCCCACATTACAAGATCGACAAAGAACTGAAACAAAGGAAGTACATATAGATGGAATAAGTTTAGCTAAGGCTTGCAAAATTCGATGATTGGGATGGCCAAGCCGGGAATGCCACGGAGGACTGGATGGCTTCGTTACAGTATGGAGGGCTGAGTTGCGATTGGTAGCAGGCGTGGAAATGGGGTAGAGACCATTACGAACTCGACCACGAAGAAGGATTTGGCAGTCCGATTGATCCTGAATAGTGAAACCGTGAGCATCAAAAGAAATTGTACAGTTATTATATGTGGTTAACTTGTGAATAGATAAAAGGTTATGCGATAAGGTAGGAATGTAAAGAATATTTTGGAGGTATAGCTTACGAGTGGTGTTAGGTAAAGGTAAAATTCACGGTCCTTGGTGTTGGATAGGCATTTGGCTTCCATTTGCTATAGAGACAGTATCAGAACCTGCATAGACTGACGGCTGTTGAATGGCTTGTGAGTCAACTGTGAGATGATTTGTTGCACCGGAGTCAAGTATCCATTCTGAAGTATTAGAGCTTTGATTTTGAGAAAGCAGGGCACGACTGGGCTCTGGAGATGAGGATGAGTAACGATACCAGCAGGTCACAGCAGTGTGTCCATTCTTGGCACAAATCTGACAGACGGGACGAGTGTTTGGAGTCGTAGCTTGTGGACGTCCAGCATTGGATTGATGCCGAGAGGTCATTCCACGACCTCTGGTATTCATTCGTCCCCTGTTATTTCTCCCTCGGCTGGAGTAAAAAGCTAAGTTGTCAGTTGCTGGAGGAGCATCCTTTCTCAGTTCATTTTGTATATCTATTTCTTCACTACACAAAAGAGAGTATAAAGTCTCCAAGCTGATGGGAAGCTGAGAAGTTCGTACAGAGCTTTTGAATGAGTTATACGAAGCCGGCAAACCATTGAGGATGTACATCAAAATGTCTTCAGTATCCACGTGAGAACCTGCAGCAGCTATATTATCTACAAGAGTTTTAACCTGAGCCAAGTATTGCGTCATTGAAGAATCTTTCATCTGTATATTATGCAACTCATTTTTTAGTTGTATAACACGCGACCTGTTGGTCGGCTGGAGCCTGGTAGCCAGCATTGTCCAAATCTCGTGTGCGGTAGACAAGTGAAATACATAGGGAAGTACTGATGGAGATATTGTTGAGAATAAAGCTGATACCAGGTTTTGATCTACAAGGCGCCACAGCTTGTATTCCGGATTAGTCACGAAACAACTCGGGTAGACTTGTTGTCCCGATAGGTAACCTTCAAAACCATTCGCTGCAAAGAGTTTGTGAATCTGAAGGCTCCATAAGGCATAGTTCTCATTTGAGAGTTGAAGGTTAACTATGGTTTTCAGGTTAGACATCAAGAACTTCAGCGGAGCAGGGATTGTGAATTCTGCCATTGTTGAGGTTAGAGAGGATACCGGAGGAGCAACGTGAGCTGCAGCTGGCGGAAGAGCAGTCGAAGATGATGAATCTGGGTTAGCCATGATGCAAGAGCTCTGATACCATAAAAGAGCTTGCTACCTGTTAGAGTCTGCAAGCAGGAAGAAGAAAAGAGGGCTACGGAGGAGAAGAAGAAAGCAGAAGAAACAGAGCAATGTCGAAGTTACTGTAGCATTCTATTTTTCATAAGCAGCTCATACAATGGTATCAAGTATATATAGATAAAGTAGGAAACACAATAATGAGAAGCCGTTGGACACATAATCAACTGCAGGTGGTCCACGCATATTCAGATGGTAGTGGAGAACGAAGGGTGAAGGTGCTAACACTTACCAGATTGTTGCAAGAAAACAATGTTGCATTTTTTAAGCCATATAAGCTTATATATATCTATTGGTTGAATTTTATGATCTAATCTTCGTAGCGCCGTTGTTTCATAATTCTTCTGCTAATTATGAACAAGCGTGTAGTTCCTGCATACTTTGTTTGGATGGTTATTATGGTTGCTGGGTCGAGAGTTGATCCAACTCGGTTCTCTTTTTATCCAATACATCTTCTTGACGCCTGCTTTCATTTTTACATGATTATAATTTTTTTCCACCAGAATAATTAGGAAATTATAGTAATATTTTCCACCATTCTTGAGCAATTGTTGTTACCAGAAAAACATTAGGACGGTAGATAGAATCCTTACGAAGATGCTAGGCTGAAAAAAAATTTGGGCCAGGCTATCTTAATCCTAATTTAGCCAGGATGGATATTAAAATCTATTACTCTAAATTAAGATGAGTGTAATATAAGTTTTGACTTATTAGGCATATATTATGTTTGTCTAAAAGTTAATTCAATAACTTTGAGATTCACCCTGATCAAATTTTCATCAAAAGATCATTCTTGAAATGTTTGACATGCAAACTGTGGCTTTCATTTGAAGTCACGATTTAGCTAAGATTTGCATGTCAAGTTGTTGCTATGTTAAGTATTGTATATGAATAGTGGTTTATAATTTTTGGTTACACAAAAAACTACAATGTTTTAATACAATATAGTTATTGTTAACCTAGTTCAAAATATAAGAATTTGATTTCAAGGTTAAGTGTTGCAAAGAATGGGTCAGAGAGAGTAATTAGATTTTTGCACACAATGTTATTATTTTATTTCTTCTAATGGGATGCAAAAATTTATTTCAAACAGTTTTGTACGCTTGTAACCGTGTTAAAATATTTATATGTATATGTTCATGTAAAACTGGAAAAACAATTTTATACAGATCCAAGTTTAAATTGAATAGGAACCCAATAAAGGAAAATTCTCCACTTATCGTTCTTCTAGAATTGTTGAAAACTTGTAGATTGTAGATGCACCAAATGATTTTGTTTTGTACTAAAATTTTGGACCTTTCTCCCACATTTACAGTTATTCAAGAACTTATGAGTCACGTCTTACATTATGTTTAGATGCACAATTTTTTTACCCTTTTTGGGCTTCTAGTAAAGGAAATATGGATTTTACTTTTATCTCTACCAGATGCTGAGGAAATAGTAAGAGGGAAACTGACCTTTTCGTTATTGTTAATACACTTACCTTTTGTGCCAGATGAAGGATGTTGCCAAGCTAATCAAAGGGAAGGAGGTTGATTTGGAAGAACTGGAAACCAAAGCTGATGAAACCCAAATACAAAAGGTTTGATTTTTGTTTAATCAAAGGATAATATACATGAAAAAAAAAATTGTAATATGCTTGTTGAAAATTTGATATATATATATATATATATATATATGTACATCAAGAAGTGCATGTTGAAAATTCAATTTTTTCTTGCTAATTAACAAGCATCTATATTATAAAAAAGAAAAATATTATAATCAGATTTATCTGTTTTGTAATAAGTTTTTAATATTTTTTTCTATTTGATATTATGATCTTTTGTGAGATTGATCTCATTATCTAAATTAATAAACTTAGTATGATCATCTTAATATTTTCACCTTCATTTATGCAAGCAAGATCTCATATGAATTCTTATTATCATTCAATATTATTTATATCTTTTTCACCTTATTGTTCAGCATAAATTGTATGATTTAAGTGCTAGTTTTTTTTTAAATAGTAATAAAATGATAAATATAGTAATATTATAATACTTTTAGAAAAATTTTATGATGCATTTTTTTATTTTAAAATCTTATCAACATGATGCATGTGCAATAAAACCAACATATGTATATATAAAAGCTAGTTTGCATGAAAATAAGGGAAACTATTTATCACAACAAAATAATTCTTTATTGGGGGAGAAGATCGAAGAGAGAGAAATTTGAAGTTTAGGATTTCATTTTAAAACTTAAAGGCTGAGATTCATTATTAGGAGAAATACAAGTGACTTTTATAATTATATATCCAAGTTACACTAATATAAATTTGTGCTTTGTATGACTAAATTTAGTGTCAAAATTATACACTCGATGAACTTGTATTAATATTTTTTTAGGTCCCTTCAAGCTATAGTAATTGAATATATTTAAACATTAATTAAAAGCTTGATGCTTAAATTAATTAAGTTGTGAGAATTGAGTCTATATGAGCGCATCATTAAGATTACTTTCGAGTATTGATATGTCACCAAAAATAGTCTTTATCTGGCAATTTTAAAAACAATAAAAGAAAACTGAATATTAATATTGTCTATAAGAGTGACCATAGCTCAAATTTCCTGAACTACTTAGAAGCTGATGATATGTCTTCATTCATAAACAATTAATACTAAAAGCCTGCATATTTAGAGAATTTAGCATTTTAGTAACAGGATAATGCCCTTACAAGATAACTATAAAAGTCTGCATAATATATTTCTTATGACATAGTTTTCACACAACTCTTAACTATTTTTGTTTTTATGTTTCAGCATTACAAGATAACCAGCCAGGAACTTGCCATCTCTTCACTTTCTAACGCAATCACCTGCAGAATTGCTGTCCGAGATGCATTATAAATTTGCATAAATGCTTTATAATGTTTAGTCATGCAATTTTTGTTTTAAATCAAGTGCTTTGTTGAATGAGCCAATATAACATGTAAAGATCTTTGGCTTTATGTATCATTGCAGCTAATGCTTGGAACTTGAAACCATTTGCTATGCTTAGTTTAATCTACTCTCTTGAGTTCTTAAAAAGCATTGTCACCAATAATGAATTGTAAGTAGGAGAAATTATTATGTGCGGAGTCTTGATGACGTCCTGATTCCAATCAAAAAGGGTCACGCTGCATGTACGCAAATACAATTTTGGATGTATTTTTTATTAAAAAAATGTCTCATAATCTACTTTTACATTAAAAAAATGATATTTTGAGAATAATTTAATGACTAATACTAATTTTTGCCTCCATTCAAAAAAAAGTTATGTCTCCACCCCTGTGCCTATGTGATGTGTGCATTAATTTACTTTAATTAACTAAAATATCTAAAAAAATCAGGCCAAATTAATACCTTTCTAAGTAAATGCTAAAGCTTAAGAGTTCTACTAATGGCCTTTAAAACTGTCGGCCAGTTTAGTCAAAACTTCATTAATGGATAGCATTCTCTTCCATGCCGAGCTGGCGCTTCCCATCCACAAGACACATGCCTCATCAATTTGTCGGTGGGAGTCCGTGGGACCAACAAAAATAATTAAATAAAAAATTAATAAGACCAGTTTTTTTAGCAGATAAGCTAATACATTATAAATAAATACATATATATATATCTTCTTTCTTTTTTATAAATGGAATAAAATAAAATAAAGGAGAGATTGTGTAAAGAATTATTGAGATTATTATGTAAACTAATTTTAAAATTAGCATTAAGATAACTATAACATATTAAGAATTAATAAATTTTACTTTTAAAATTTATCTAAATTAGATTTCGATTAAATAATTTTATTATTTAATTTTATATGAGCATGCATGGCTTTTCGTAGAGTATGTAAAAATATTATTTTATGTCTGCATTGATGTGATTTGTTTTGTCACCACATAGATAGATGTGTCCTATTTGGCTTACATCCACATCATAGGATGAGTAATTGTAAGGATATGGATGTAGATTTATGATTCGTGTTAAGACATCTTTTAAACATTATTTTTTTAATTCTTTTTATATTTTTTTATATATATATATATATATATATATTATAAATTAAAAAATGATCTATATTTACATAATGTGGATTTAAATGCTTTTATATTTATCATGAGGCTAACACAATTCATGATATCAGTATGTAGGCGTGGATTTAGCATGGGCTTGGGGCATGAGTCCCCATTAACTTCTTAAGTAAAGCTAATTAAGACTAATTACATTTATAAAAAAAGAAGAAAAAAAGCTAGGTATATTAATCATTAATTAAGGAAAAAAAACAAACTATTATTTCCTTCATTCCGCTAGTATTACACGCTCCCTTCCGACATTCTAGTTTTTCGCCTTCTCCTTCCACCATTCCATTTCCACACTTCTCCTCAAACCTGTGCTTCCTTCTGTCGTTCTTCTGCCAGTCGTGGTCCTCGTGGAGAGTTTGGAGTACCTTGCTTCTTTTAGTCAGATATCTCTCTATCTCTCTCCCTCCAAAGCTTTCTTTATGTAAGATATATGGATTGTAATTTTTTTTGGGAATATTAGAGGGCTTAGCCCATTCTATTAATCAAAATTGGGTATACAATAAAAAAACCAAAAGACATCCAACAACAAAAGTGAGGTTGTAGCAAAACTATATCCCACAGATTGGGAAAGAGAGAAAATTAAAATAGAAAAAGACAGAATAACTGTCTGGCCTGGAGTCAGGAAAAAATTACATCAAAGATAATGGTTCAAAATATCCATTGGTTATCAATAGACAATCCAAAGAGAGAAAGATAATCCCTTGGTTGCCCAAAGACCCTCCAAAAGGAAGGAGGCAAGCTTCATCATTGTCCAAGGCCCAAAAATTTCCTGCCTGACATTAATAATATCGAGATAGGCAATAAGATTCTGGCAATAAAACGAATAAGGATCAATAAGTCATCAAATATCCAAATGGACATCCATCTTCTAGCAAATGCAAACCCAAAGCTTCCCAAAAATCACATCCATATGAAAAACCAACCGATGAAACCTCCAGTAAAAGTACGCAGTATGTGGGATAACCAGTTGATAGATACCAACCGAAAGCATACAAATAAACACACCCTCCCAAGAACGACTAATAGGAGTATAACAAAATAATACCACCAAAAATGCAGAAAAACATCAGAGCTTCAGATTTAATTTTTCATTCAATTGCTCACAGTCTTACCATCTAGAAAATTTAAGATATAAAGCTCTAGATATCCTTCTTACTCACCTCACTTATGTTGATGATCTATTAGTTTTTGGGAAGGCTAATACCATTAATTGCAATTTCCTTATTGAAATTCTTATTATGTTTTCCAATTATTTTAGATTGCACCTAAATTTGCATAAAAGCTCTCTTATTCTTTCCCCTCTTGTTAACACCCCCTCTGCCCTTCTCTCACACCCTTCAAATCCCTAACATCTCCACTAAAATTTCTTACATGGGGATTCATTTATCTATAGGCAGGAGTAAAATTTCTAATTTCTAACCTTTGCTGGAAAAAGTCACTATGCTCTTTTCAGGTTGGAAAACCCGTCTACTTTCATTTGCAGGTAGTTTACAATATATCAAATTTACCATCACCAATACGGTGGCTTATTGGATCAGAAGCACAATTATTCCTCAAAACCACTTCCAAGGCTATCAGTAAACTTTGCCTAATTTCCTTTATTTTGGGGGTTTATATATTAGGAAATTGCAACCAGTATCTTGGTCCAATACTTGCAAGCCTTTTGTCGAAATGTGGGTTAGAGATTGCTTCTTTTTAGGCGCTAAGATATGCTTCAATTGTGGGACTATTTGAGATGTTATAATCATCCCAACCCTCTCGATCTCTAATTGGATTATGATCGGATAAACTTCACCGTGGAAAACCTCCTATACATTCTGCCACTGCTTTTTGGAAAAGTATTTGCAACACAGCTTCTTTGGCTAAATAAATTCAACTTTCAAATCAGTCATAATAACCCTATTGCTATTTATTGGGATCACTGGTGCATGGGTCAATCCATTTCTGACAGGTTTTCGAGTTTTTCAAATTCTATTGACTGTATTTTTAATTCTCATCTGGCTGAATGGATGCATCACAATACCTGGATTATTCCAGATCATATCAAACATCCCCTAAGAAATTTTATTAATAATATTGTTATTACCCATAATAGCAATAATCATATTCGTTGAGATAAAAAAAAAATATTCGTTGGGATAATTTAGATAAGGTTAAGTTCAAAGACTTTACGTAGATTTCTTTGCAAATGATCCATCCAATGTTTGACATACAGTAGTTTGGCATAAAAGGCATTCTCTCAGATTTTCGGTTTATACTTGGATGGTGTTAAGAGATGGTCTGAAAACTGTTGATGTTTTTTCCTATAAGAACATTCATATTTAGGATCATACTTGCAATTTATTTCATCAGAGCAATGAATCTCTCTCCCACTTATTGTTTGAATGTGATTTTTCAATTACGATCCTGGTAAAATTAATTCCCTTATCTCAAAACTTCTTCCTTAGGCCTACCTTATATCAAGCATTAGATCGCATTGGTGGAGCTTCCTTGCCTGGTTACTTAAAAGATGATTTACTTCTTACCCTTAATGCTATTGTCTACATTTTATGGATTGAATGTAATACCATAAGGTTTAAAAGTAATTATGTTTGTGTTGTTTCTCTCTCCATATGTATTGTAATATTATTCTTACAGGTTTTTGATTTCATTCCATTTTTGTTTACTGTAGCTTTCTGAGAAACTTTTAGTTAGTTGAGTATGTTGTGCTCTATTCTATCTTCTTGATGGTAGGTCTTTTTGGATCTTTTGAGCAACTCCAATTTTTCTGGGCTCAATTTAGCTCTCCTTTTAGAACAATTATAAGGTGCGGAGTCTGGATTTAGAGATACGTCCGGACTCCAATAAAATATTAATATGTGGATATTCAATTGAATTTATTTTTACTTTATATATTTAAGTGCTCCTGGAACTTTAATCCAACCGCACCAAAAGTGTAGCCAAAGCTCAGGTAAGGCGCATGTAAAGCACAATAAAAAAAACTGTATTAAAAGAGCAATCAAAGCGCAACTAAAGCATATATAAAACGCATGTAAAGTGCAAGTAAAGCTCACAAAAAATTACAACAAAGTGCACTCCACGTGTTAATTTTTAAGTGAATGTACGGGCGTATCTCTGTGTCCAGATTCCGCACCTAATAATTTCTTCTCCTTTTACTTCTTTTTTTTTTCTTTCAGACTTATAATGTTATAACTTCCTTGAAGAGAGAGAAGCTCCACAAAAAGAGGAAGGATTTTGAAGAAGATTTCGGCTGCTTTCATTGAAGATGGATGGAGGTGGCCAGTCATCCATGGATGACTGGAACACCTACTCCTATAGATCTACCGTGCGTCCAACTATGCTGGATTCAAAAGGTGGATTTCTATTCAATCGTAGTTTCCCTTGCAATTCATGTTTTTTTAACTCTCCTCTGGTGATTAAAGAAGAAGGGTTGATATCAAAGCAAAAGCATTTGCCGGATATTGGAAAAGGAAAAGATGCCATTAATGTTTTGAAGAGTAAGTCAATTTCACCCATGAAGGTTTTTTTCCCTAAAGCAAATGATTTGGAGGCTTCTTCATCAGGTTGCAAAGTTTTTAATTTGTTGAAGAATAATAAATAGATTGATAATACCATCCTCGGTGAGGGTAATATCAAAAATCCAGCATCTTCACCTGGATTGGATAATTCTAATGTGTGGGTTAGAAAACCACATATTAAAATTAATTTGAAGGAAGTTCATCATGAAAATGAAAATGCAAATGTGGTCAAACTTGACTTGGAAAATGAAAAAGCCAATGTTCAAGTGTTGAGGAATTCGTTGGTTGTGAAGATCCTTTGTAAAAAATTACCTTTTTCAAATTGTGCTATTGAATTAAGGAGGCAATGGGGTAAATATGGAGGATTTCATATAACCTCACTTGGATTAGATTGGTTTCTGTGCTCATTCTAGTCACAAGAAGCAATGGAAGAAGTTCTTAATGGAGGTCCTTGGTA